CCCAAACCAGTCCCCCCAAAGTGCCCCCCCAAACCAGCACCCTCAAAGCTCCCCCCCCAAACCAGCACTCCCAAAGTTCCCCCCCAAACCAGCACCCCTAAAGTGCGCCCCCAAACCAGCACCCCCAAAGTGCCCCCCCAAAGTGCCCCCCAAAACCAGCACCCTCAAAGCTCCCCCCCAAACCAGTCCCCCCCAAAGTGCCCCCCAAACCAGCACCCTCAAAGCTCCCCCCCAAACCAGCACTCCCAAAGTTCCCCCCCAAACCAGCACCCCCAAAGTGCCCCCCCAAAGTGCCCCCCAAAACCAGCACCCTCAAACTCCCCCCCAAACCAGCACCCCTAAAGTGCTCCCCCAAACCAGCACCCCCAAATTCCCCCCCAAACCAGTCCCCCCAAAGTGCCCCCCCAAAACCAGCACCCTCAAAGCTCCCCCCCAAACCAGCACCCCAAAGTGAACCCCCCCCAAACCACAGCCCCAAACTCCCCCCAAACCAGCACCCCAAAGTGCCCCCCCAAAACCAGCACCCCCAAAGTGCCCCCCCAAAGTGCCCCCCAAAACCAGCACCCTCAAAGCTCCCCCCCCAAACCAGCACTCCCCAAAGTTCCCCCCCCAACCAGCACCCCCAAAGTGCCCCCCCAAAGTGCCCCCCAAAACCAGCACCCTCAAACTCCCCCCCCAAACCAGCACCCTAAAGTTCCCCCCCAAACCAACACCCCCAAAGTGGCCCCCAAACCAGCACCCTCAAACTCCCCCCCATCACCCCAAAGTCCCCCCCCCAACACTATCACCCCCAAGTTCCCCCCCCAACACCATCACCCCAAAGTCCCCCCCCCAAACCATCACCCCCAAGTTCCCCCCACCACCATCACCCCAAAGTTCCCCCCCCCCACCATCACCCCAAGTTCCCCCCCCAACACCATCACCCCAAAGTCCCCCCCCCCACCATCACCCCAAAGTTCCCCCCCAACACCATCACCCCCAAGTTCCCCCCCCACCACCATCACCCCAAAGTTCCCCCCCCCACCACCATCACCCCCAAGTCCCCCCCCCCACCACCATCACCCCAAAGTTCCCCCCCCCCCATCACCCCCCAAGTTCCCCCCCCACCCCACACCTTGGGGGTCCTTCTCATAGTAGTACTGCTGGGTGCGGAGCCAGCGCCCCACGAGGTGGTCGCGCACGGTGTGGGCCAGGGCTTGGTAATAGTCCCTGGGGGTGGCCACGTTGCGGTCCTTGACGAGCGTGAAGTGCAGGTGCCGGTTGAAGCTCCGCTTCAGCTCCCCGACGTTCTCGGGCCCCGCAAGGCCCCGCACGCTGATCTGGCGCCGCCGCTCCTGGTCGCTCAGGGGTCGGGACATGGCTGGGGGCCGGGGTGGAACCGGGCCTGGAAGCGGGCTGGGACTGGGGCTGGAACCGGGATGGAACCGGGCAGGAACCGGGTTGGAACCCGGATGGGAGCGGGATGGAACCGGGCAGGAACCGGGGATGGAGCCGGGCTGGGACCGGGGATGGAGCCGGGATGGAACCGGGCTGGGACCGGGATGGGACCGGGGCTGGAACCGGGATGGAACCGGGCTGGGACCGGGGATGGAGCCGGGCAGGAACCGGGCTGGGACCGGGATGGGACCGGGGCTGGAACCGGGATGGAACCGGGCAGGAACGGGGCAGGAACCGGGCTGGGACCGGGGATGGAGCCGGGCAGGAACCGGACTGGGACAGGGGATGGAGCCAGGCAGGAACCGGGGCTGGAACCGGGGCTGGAGCCGCGCAGGAACCGGGCAGGAACCGGGCAGGAACCGGGCTGGAGCCGGGCTGGAGCCGGGCAGGAACCGGGCTGGGACCGGGGCTGGGACCGGGATGGGACCGGGAGGGAGTGGGGGGGGCTCCGCGCTGGAGGCGGCGGCGGCGGCGCCCTCGGGGTTAAGAGCACGCGGCTCATTGCGTATTCATGAGGGGGCGGAGCTGGCGGAGGGACACGCCCCAGGCATGCGATTATAGCGCCCCCGCGCTGTTATTCATGAGGGGGAGGAGCTTGTGGCGAGCCAAACCCGCCCTCTCATTACCGCAGTATCGCGTTGGGGACCCAGTGCTGTTTATTATTCATGAGGGGGGCGGAGCATGTGGCAAGCCAAAACCTACCTCCCATTGCTATAGCATCCCATTGAGAGCACCGCGCTGTTTATTATTCATGAGGGGGCGGAGAATGTGGCGAGCAAAAACCTCCCGCCCATTGCCAAAGCATCCCATTGAGAACAACGTGCTGTTTATTATTCATGAGAGGGCGGAGCATAAGGCGAGCCAAAACCTCCCATTGCCATAGCATCCCATTGAGAGCACCGCGCTGTTTATTATTCATGAGGGGGCGGAGCATGTGGCACACCAACACCTCCCTTCCATTACCATAGTGACCCAATGGGAACCCCACTGCTGTTTATTATTCATGAGGGGGCGGAGCGTGTGGCACACCAACACCTCCCTTCTATTACCATAGTGACCCATTGGGAACCCAGCGCTGTTTATTATTCATGAGGGGGCGGAGCATGTGGCACACCAACACCTCCCTTCTATTACCATAGTGACCCATTGGGAACCCAGCGCTGTTTATTATTCATGAGGGGGCGGAGCATGTGGCACACCAAAACCTCCCTTGTATTACCATAGCGACCCAACTGGAACCCCACGCTGTTTATTATTCATGAGGGGGCGGAGCATGTGGCACACCAACACCTCCCTTGCATTACCATAGTGACCCATTGGGAACCCATTGCTGTTTATTATTCATGAGGGGGCGGAGCAGGTGGCACACCAACACATCCCTTCCATTACCATAGTGACCCAATGGGAACCCAGCGCTGTTTATTATTCATGAGGGGGCGGAGCATGTGGCACACCAACACCTCCCTTGTATTACCATAGTGACCCATTGGGAACCCATTGCTGTTTATTATTCATGAGGGGGCGGAGCATGTGGCACACCAACACCTCCCATCTATTACCATAGTGACCCAACTGGAACCCAGCGCTGTTTATTATTCATGAGGGGGCGGAGCATGTGGCACACTAAAACCTCCCATTACCATAGTGACCCAACGGGAACCCCACGCTGTTTATTATTCATGAGGGGGCGGAGCGTGTGGCACACCAACACCTCCCTTGCATTACCATAGTGACCTATTGGGAACCCATTGCTGTTTATTATTCATGAGGGGGCGGAGCATGTGGCACACCAACACATCCCTTGCATTACCATAGTGACCCATTGGGAACCCAGCGCTGTTTATTATTCATGAGGGGGCGGAGCACGTACCACAACCCCCCCCAATTGTAGCACCCCCCAAGGAGCACCCACGATGTCCTCCATTCATTATTCATAGAGGGGGCGGAGCTTGAGTCTGACCACGCCCCCACCCGTGATTACATCACCCCCAAACCATCATTCATAGAGGGGGCGGAGAATGCGGATGGCCACGCCCCCACCCGTGACTGCAGCTTCCCACAGGGCGCGCCCACGTCGTTCTCCATTAATTATTCATGAAGGGGCGGAGCTTGCTGCGCACATCCCCCACCCCTTGGCACAGGGTCCTAATGCCCCTCCCCTCCCCCCCCATGTAAGCACGTGCACGTGGGGGGAGGGGTGCAGGTCGGGTTCCCCCCCTCCCCCCCCCGCAGTAACCGGAGCCGTGCTGAAGGTCGTGACATTTGGGGGGGGGAGGGGGGGGGCACCACGTGAGTGACGGGCACAGGGGGTGGGGGTGGGGGGGGGGCACCCCAAGGTTTGGTTTCAGTGGGGGAGGGGGGGGAGAAACTCGAGTGGGGGAGGGGAGCAACAGAAATAACCAGGGGGGGGAATTTGGGGTCCTGCATGGAATAAAGGGGGACACAGGGGGGGATGGGGGGGGGAATTTGGGGTCCCACGTGGAGTAAATAAAGGGGGACACGGGGGGGGATGGGGGGAATTTGGGGTCCCACATGGAATAAATAAAGGGGGACACGGGGGGGGATGGGGGGAATTTGGGGTCCCACATGGAATAAATAAAGGGGGACACGGGGGGGGATGGGGGGAATTTGGGGTCCCACATGGAATAAATAAAGGGGGACACGGGGGGGATGGGGGGGGAATTTGGGGTCCCACATGGAGTAAATAAAGGGGGACACGGGGGGGATGGGGGGGGAATTTGGGGTCCCACATGGAATAAATAAAGGGGGACACGGGGGGGATGGGGGGGGAATTTGGGGTCCCACATGGAGTAAATAAAGGGGGACACGGGGGGGGATGGGGGGGGGGAATTTGGGGTCCCACATGGAATAAATAAAGGGGGACACGGGGGGGGATGGGGGGAATTTGGGGTCCCACATGGAATAAATAAAGGGGGACACGGGGGGGATGGGGGGAATTTGGGGTCCCACATGGAATAAATAAAGGGGGACACAGGGGGGGATGGGGGCGGGGGGCCCCGCTCTGGATTTATTCATACACAAAAAAGCGCAAGGGGATGGGGGGGGACACGACTCTAAGAGGGGGTGAAATGGGGGGGGGAACACCCCAAAATAAGGGGGGTGGGGACACTGGACTCCCCCCTTCGCTAAGCAGCCCCGTTTTACTGCGTTGCCCCCCGGATTTGGGGTGTTCCCCTCCTGATGTGGGGCTGGGGGGGGTTAAACAAGTTCACAAAATGGGGGGGGGGGCAGCCCAGTGGTGGTGGTCCCCTATATGGAAGGGGGAGGACCCACTACAATGCGGGGGGGGGAGTCCAAACTGGGGGGGGTCTCCCCCCTCTCCCCTCAGTGGAACAGCCCATTGGTGGTGGTTGGGGGGGGGGGGGGGGGGCTCACTGTGGTGGTGGTGGTCCCCAATGCACAACAAGTGGGGCAGGGGGGTGAAGACCCACAATGGATCAGTCCACTTTGGGGGGGGGGGCCTACGGTGGAACAGCCCATTGGTGGAAGGGGGGGGGTTTCCAGTGGAGTGGTCCCCGTGCTCCCATGCCTCCCCCCCCCCCCCCCCCCCAAAATCGCGGTGGTATTGCTCAGTTCTGGGGGGGCGGTGGGGGGGGCGCGGGGGGCATGCCAAAGGGGGGCATGGCAGGCACCCCCATCCCCATCATGGTGACGAAGTTAGAAGGGTCCATGGGGGGGGGCGGCGGGGGGGGCGGGGGTGCGTACATCATGCCCCCGGAGCCAGGGGGTGGCGGGGGGGGCGGTGGGGCCCCGGGGGGCAGTGGGGGCTGGACCCCGGGGGGCAAAGGCACCATGGAGGGGCTGCCGGGGAGTGGGGGGGCTCCCGAAGAAGCTGCCCCCCCCCCCGCCGCCCCCCCCGCCCCCCCCTGCTGTTGCCATGGGGGGAGGGAGCCGCTGCCAGCGCTCGTGGTGGTCGTCGTATCTGTGAAGGGGGGGGGGGGGGTGTGGGGAAAAGGATTAAGTATGGGGGGGTGTAATTAATTAATTAGTGTTAATTAATGCCCCCCCCCGCCCCAACAGAGGTACTCACTTTGCTGCCATGGCAAGGGGGTGCTGCTGCTGCTGGGGGGTGGCGGCGGCTGCTGCTGCCAGGGGGGGAGCGGGCCGGAGGGAGGGGGCGGCTGCCCACCGGGCGGGGGGGGCGGGGGGGGCAGCATACCCAGCGGCGGAGGCATCATACCTGGGGGGGGGTGAAAGGGGGGGGGGTTAGAACAGGGGTTAGGGGGCTAGAGAGGGGGTTTGGGGGGGTTTAAAGGGGGTGGAGGGAGGATGGAGGGGGTGAAAGGGGGGGGTTTGATGGTTGGGGGGGTTGAGAGGGGGTTTGGGGGGGTTTAAAGGGGGTGGAAGGAGTTGGGGGGTTTCAATGGGGTTGGGGGGGGTTTGGGGGCGTTTAAAGGGGGTTGAGGGAGGATGGAGGAGTTGGGGGGGTTTGAATGGGGTTGGGGGGCTAGAGAGGGGGTTTGGGGGGGTTTAAAGGGGGTTGAGGGAGGATGGAGGGGGTGAAAGGGGGGGGTTTGATGGTTGGGGGGGTTGAGAGGGGGTTTGGGGGCGTTTGAAGGGGGTTGAGGGAGGAGTTGGAGGGGTGAAGGGCGGGTTGAATGGGGTTGGGGGCCTTGGGGGGTGAAGGGGGGAGTTTGAATGGGGTTGGGGGGGTTGAGAGGGGGTTTGGGGGTGTTTAAAGGGGTTTGAGGGAGGATGGAGGAGTTAGGGGGAGAAGGGGGGGGTCTGAATGGGGTTGGGGGGCTTGAGGGCATTTAAAGGGGGTTGAGGGAGGAGTTGGGGGGTGAAGGGGGGGTTGAATGGGGTTGGGGGGTTGAGGGGGCATTTAAAGGGGGTTGAGGGAGGATGGAGGAGTTGGGGGGGTGAAGGAGGGTTTGAATGGGGTTGGGGGGCTAGAGAGGGGGTTTGGGGGCGTTTAAAGGGGTTTGAGGGAGGAGTTGGGTAGTAAGGGGGGGTCTGAATGGGGTTGGGGGGGTTGAGAGGAGGTTTGGGGGCGTTTAAAGGGGGTTGAGGGAGGATGGAGGAGTTGGGGGGTGAAGGGGGGGTGTGAATGGGGTTGGGGGGCTAGAGAGCAGTTTTGGGGGCGTTTAAAGGGGTTTGAGGGAGGATGGAGGAGTTGGGGGGGGTGAAGGGGGGGTTGAATGGGGTTGGGGGCTTGAAAGCAGTTTTGGGGGCATTTAAAGGGGTTTGAGGGAGGATGGAGGAGTTGGGGGGTGAAGGGGGTGCGTGAATGGGTTTGGGGGGGTTCGGGGGGGTGTTGGGGACCCACCTTTTCCCTGGTGCAGGCGATAGACCCCAGAGCCCACCGGCGCATTGCCCAGGTACTGATCTTGGGGGAATGAGAGACCGTCGCCTTAGCGAGGGGGAGATTCCCCCCCCCCCTCCCTTCACCCCCAAAATCCATCCCATAAATACACACCTCACCCCAAAACACTTCCCAGGTTCTGAACTTTGCTGGGAGGGGGGACCGTAAAAAAGGCTTTTTTACCCCAAAATTCACACCCCCCCCCTCCCACCCCGGGTCTTATCTTCAGAGGCTGCAGAAACCATCACCCCTTAGGGCTGAGGGGTGCCAAGCTCTCCACGTTACACCCCAAAACCCCCCCTGACCAAATCCTCCCCTCTTCACCCCAAAACATCCCAAGCTCGCCTTTGAGGTAACAGAAACCACAATTCTTTTTGGGGGGGTCGCCATAAAACCCCCCCTTTTCACCCCCAAATTACCCCCCATCCAGGATTGTCCTTACCCATGTGGTGGGGCCCCGGGTGCCCAGGTGGGTGGGGGCCCTGCCCCATAGGGGGATGATGGGGCTGCATCCAAGGCGGGGGCCCATTGGGGTTGTGCTGCAGGGGGTGCGCCCCGTGGCCCCCCCCCATGCCAGCCATGGGGTGAGGGAAGCTGTGGGGCCCCCCTGGGCCCCCATGCATCCCGTGGTAGGGGCGGTTTTCCGACGGGGTGGAGTTCATCCAGGGTGGGCGGCTCTGGGATGTGGGGGGCAGAAACAAAGAGGGATGTCAGGGATGTTCTGGGGGAATGGGGGGATTTGGGGGGGTGTGGGGGGGGGTACTCACGGGGGGGGGCTGGCTGCTGGCCTGGTTGGCAGCGCGGTGGCTGCTGGAGAGGGGGCTGTTGTTGTGGGCAGCGTTGGAGCTGACCGAGACCGGGGCCTCCCCCAGCTCCGCCATCAGTGACAGGTACTCCTTGTCCATGCGCGCCTTGTCCTGCGCTGACTGTGGGTCCCCGGGCCTGGGGGGGGGGGGAAAGGGGGGGGGGGGCAAGGGGGTGAGTTGGGAGGGGGGGGCAACACCCCCAAAAGCAACGCAGTGGAGCACCGACCGCCCCTCCTCTCCGTTCCCCCTTGCGCTCCTGCTCCATCCCTCCCTTTAACCCCAAACCCCTTAAAGAAAGTGGGGAGCCCACTGTGCCCCCCCCCCCCCCCAACCCCAGGGGATGTTGGGGGGGGGGATTTTGGGGAGGTTTTGGGGTGCTGGTACCTGGCAAACTTGCAGTCGGAGGCGATGTGACCAGCACCGCCGCACTTGGTGCACACGGTGGTGTTGGTGATGCTGCGGGTCTCAGTGCTCTGCCATGGCCGCAGGATGCTGGGGGGGGGACGAGGACATGGGGTGGGGGGGTTAGGCTGGGGGTACAGGGGGTATTTTGGGGTGTATAGGGGAACTTTAGGGCTTAAAGAGGGGTATTTGGGGGCAAAAGGAAGTATTCCGGAACAGTTTTGCGCTGTTGGGGGGGTTATTTTGGGGTACAAAAGGGTATTTTGAATTGTTAGGGACTTATTTCGGAGCATATGGGGACGCTTTGGGGTGCGGGGGGGGGGGTATTTCAGGGCACAGGGGGCAGCGATTTTGGGGTGCTGGGGGCTATTTTGGACTGCAGGATGGGTTACTTCAGGTGGGGATAGTTTGGGGCTGCAAGGATGGGGGGTGTGTGTCATTTTGGGGTCTAAAGAGGTATTGCAGGCTGCAGGGGAGTTATTCTGGGGTCCAGGTAGGTCCAGTTTTGGGTGCACAGGGTTATTTTTGGGTCCAGGGAGGTATGTTAGGGTCCAGGAAGGGTAGTTTGGGGTCCAAGGGGGTTATTTTTGAGTCTGGGGAGTATTTTGGGGTCTGGGGGTTACTTTGGGGTCAAGGGCGGTAGGTTGGAGTCTGTGGGCTATTCTGAGGTCCAGGGGGGGGTATTTTGGTGTCTGTGGGTTATTTGGGGGTCCAGGGGGGCAGGATTTTGGAGCCTGGAGATTATTTTGGGGTCCGGGGCGTTATCACCCCAACACAGACCGGTTGTCATCCTCCCGCAGCGTCCCGTTGAGCCGCGCCAGCTCCCGCAGCTGCATCTTCCTCAGGTCGTTCTGGTCCTCGGGGGTCTCGATGCCTTGCTTCAGGATGTTGCGGATCTGAGGGGTTGGGATGGGTGAAGGTCAAACAGGAGCGGAGGAGCTGTGTGTGTGTGTCCCCCCCAAACCTTGGACCCCCCCACCCCATACCTGCTCCACCGCCTTCTTGACGTTCTCCATGGTGTTGGCGGTGACAAGGGCATGCAGGGGCTCGTCCTCCCCCGGCAGCATCTGCCCGTCCTTGCGGCCAACCTTGCCCTCCTTCACCGAGCCCTTGCCCCGGATCATGATCTTGGCATTGCATTCCTTCTCAATGTTCTTCAGCGTGTTCCCTCTGTGGGGGGAGAGTCACCCATGGGGAATGGGGTGGGGGGCACCCCAAGGGTCTGGCTGGGGTAGGTACCATAGGGCTCAGGGAATGGGGAGAATGGGAACGGGCTGGTGGCTTGGTGTCACTAGGAGTCATTAAGACCACACACACACCCCATTTATGAAACACTGCCCGCATGCAGGGGAAGGGGGTCACCCACCCCAAATTAGGGGGGAGGTACCCCATAAACAGGGCAATAAGAAGCCAGTGATGCTCCAGGATCACCAGAAGCCTGACCTCAGCGCCATTAAGAACCCCCCGAAAAGCTAAGCAGAAACACCAGCACCATCAGAAGCCTCATTAGCACCCCAGCAGTAAGGGCCTACTCTCATTCATTAAGCACCTACTCTCATTCATTAAGCACCTGAGACCATTAATATTACCCCCCCCTGCCCCAGTTTTGGGGGTGTCACCCACCCACATACTGTAACCCCCACCCCAGTCTCACAAGTGAGGAGTTGGGGGGCAGCAGCACCCTGGCTTCATCAGGAGCCTGGCTCCCTGCCTTCATTAAGTAGCCAAATTTGGGGGTGTACTGGGGGGGGAAGGGGGGGCACAGACCCACCTGGGCCCAATGAGGAGCCCCACGAAGTTGATCTCGGGGTACTCATCCTGCGGGATCATCACCTTGTCGCTCACCCGTGTCGCCGGCGGCCTGGGGTGAGAAAACAGCATTAAAACATCACCTAAACCCCAAAACAACCTGAATTAGCCCCAAAAACGTGTGTGTGTGCCCCTCACTTGTAGTCGGCGGGGGGCTTGAAGTCCGGGTTGAGGGCCACCATCTCGGTGATGAGGTTGTGCCGCTCCTCCTCCAGCTTCTTCCGCGTGCGGAACTCGCGTGTGTTGAGCCGCTTCCCCTCGCTGTTGTAGATGGGCTCTGGGGATGGGGACCTGGGGGGGGGACATAAGGGGTCACCCCGCTGCCCCCCTACCCCCCGTATGGGAGGGCTTGCACCCCCCACATCCCCCCATCTGCCACAGCCAGCACTGGGGCTGCCCCCAATGGGGGGGGGGGAACTGGGGGGGTTGTTAATTACCACCCAATGAAGGGCCAGCAGATCCCCCCCCCCCCCACCAAACCAGACTCCTGTAACCCCGTTTCTCTCCATTTCCCCTCCCTACAGGCGAGTTTTGCCCCTTTCTGCCTGTTTTTGAGGCCTCGGTTTGCCCGTTTCACTGCTTTTTAAGAGGAAAAGCTTCCAGGCTTTGGGGGTTTTGGTGTTTTTTTTTGGGGGGGAAGCTTTTGGGTCGGTTTATTTGCTTTTTGGCAGCAGCAGGTAAAGCTACGAAGGGAAGAGTCAAGGTTTAAGGGGGAGAAAACTCACAAAGGATTAAAAATGAGAATGAAAAATGAGAATTATCATCAATTAAAGGAGAATATAAGAAAAAAATGTCACAATCCCGCAGCTTTGGTGAAATTATGGACCTTTTTTTTGGGTTTTTTTGTACGTTTGTGGCTTTTTTTTTTTTGTTTTTGTCCTTAAACCTCCCCAAATTGTTAATTTTTATAATTTTTTTTTTTTTTTGGATGAGGCTGCAAGAAGGGAAAAGATTATCCAAAAATAAAAATGAAACTGAACGTCTCCCGGGCGGCAATCGGAAACCTGCACCCGTCTTGGGGTGAAAAAGAGACTTTTCTGCATTAAAGCCAGTTGGCGGCACCGTCCTCGCGGCCTAAAGGGAACTGTGGACACGCGAAACGAAAGGTCAGCTAATCACTGCTTGTTAATGAGCAATTCAGCACAACTCGTCCCGTTTACCACGAACCCCCCCCCCCCCCCCTTTTCAACCGCCGGTACTGAGCGCTAACGACGCCCCCGTTGGTTAACGTTGCGCCGGGCCCTGGCGCGCTGCAGGAGCAAGGCAGGGTTATTGTGGATTTTCCTGGATTTCACCCCAAAATCCAAGCGCCGGGCGGCTGGTGTTGACCTTTACACCCTGTCCCGTCCCCCCCCCCCCCCATCATCCATCTCAGCCCCCTCCTTCCCACCACCACAACCGGCTCCGTTAGCGGCCGCTCAGCAGCCGGTACCGTGGGGTGAGGGCCCCCCGCTGTGCCCCGCCGTGGGGAGAAGTGGCTCGAAAACGGAGGGAGGGGGGGGGGGGAAAGGGGTGGGAAAAAGGAAGAAGGGCAAAGGGAGGAGCTGGAATTTGACCTCTTTGGGGGGAGGGAAACGGCGGAATTCATCCTCCCGGAGCCGATTGGAACCGAATGGAGGGGAAGGGAAGGGGGCAGAGCCCATCCGGGTGCAGGGTGCGGGAGGCGGGGCATAGCGGGAGCCCTGACCCCGGGGCACGGCCCCCGGCCGGGTGGAGCCTCCTTTAGGAATCATCATCAGAACGCCAAGAAATGATCAAAACCACAGAAAGCGCCTCCAAAAGAGCAAGGGGAGGGGCGGGGGGAGGCGAACGGTTACTGTCAGGTGAAGGGTCCCAACCTGTCCTCAGGGTTAGGGGGGATGCCCAGGTCTCCCGTGCGCAGTTTGCGAGTCAGGTCTTCGATCTGCAGTTGCACTGGAAGAAACCCGGTTAGGACAGAAAAAAGGGTGGGAGAAAAGACAGAGTTACCAAAAAAAGGACATTATTTGGCCAAAACAAGACATTCTTAACCCAAAACCCTGACAGTCTAAGCGAGAGAGGCACATGGCTGCCCGATACACAGGCATTTTAACCAGGAACGGCACGTTCTCACCCAAAACATAGGCGTTGGTATCAAAGAAACAGCCGTTATTGCCCTAAAGCCAACAACTGTTACAAAAAATGTACATTGCCAGCCTAAAATCAGACATTATGGCAAAAAAATAAGCATTGTTAGCCTAAAACCAGACATTAACAGCCTAAAATCAGGTATGATTAGCCTAAAAATAAACATTAACAGCCTAAAACCAAGCATCAACAGCTTAAAATCACATATTATCAACCCAAAATCAAGTATTAGCCTAAAACCAAACGTTAATAGCCCAAAAATGAACATTAATAGCCTACAGTCAGCCATTACTAGCTTAAAAATAAACCTTTATAACCTACAATCAGACATTAGCCTAAAAAAAAGATTAATAATCTAAAAATAAGCATTAATAACCTAAAACCAGATATTAACATATGATAAACATTTACAGCCTAAAAATACACATTTATAGTCTAAAACCAAACATTTATAGTCTAAAACCAAACATTTATAGTCTAAAACCAAACATTTATAGTCTAAAACCAAGGATTCTTGACCTAAAATCAAACATTAATAGCCTAAAAATAAACATTAGCAGTCCAAAAATACACATTAATACTGTAAAATTGGGTGTTAATAGCCTAAAAATAAACATTAATACTCCAAAACCAAACATTAATAGCCTAAATTCAAGCATTATCACAAAAAAAGAGGCATTATGGCCATAATTCCAGCCATTATTACCAACAATGGTTAAAGGTAAGCCCAGATGTTGTTACCAAAAAGAAGTGTTTTCAACCTAAAACCAGACATTATCAGCCTAAAACCAACCATTATTAACCTAAAACTAAGCATTATCAGCCTAAAAGCAGTAATTGCTTCAAAAGCCACCCATGAGCAGCCTAAACCTGGTGTTTCCAGCCTGGAACCAACCGTTATTGCCCCAAAAATCACCATTATTGGCCTCAAATAAATCAAAATTAACGTTATTCACCTAAAACCAAACGTTAGGATGAAAATAATCTGTTGTTATCGCCAACAATAAACGTTATGGCCCCAAAAATCCAATCAGATCACCCCAAAAAGCACATTTTTAACCGCAAATCTTAGTATTTTCATGGAAAAAATCCCGTGCTCTTACCCAAAACCCCAGATTATTGCTAAGAAAACACACATTAACACCTCAAAAACCACACTGGTACCTTCAAAACAAGTCTGATGAACCTAAAATGGATGTTTTCAACCCAAAAACGTATCTTACCAACCTAAAACCCGCGTTACTGCCAAACCGACAGGTTCTGACCCCAAAAAGAGAGATGGTTATTGAAAAAGGTGATTCTTACCCCCATAAAAGGTGGTTATTGCCCCAAACCAAACACTGCTTCCTAAAATCAGCTAAAAATCCACATTATTGTCTAGAACAATCATACGGTTACTTCAAAAACACAAGTTATTGGTTAAAAATGCTCAATTACCTCAAAAAGCACATTATTACCTCAAAATGTGTTATTGGCTCATCACATCACGGTTTTGACTCAAAAAGCGACGTTTTTACTTCAAAATACCATGTTATTAGCTCGTGGAATCACATTTTTTACTCAAACCCCCCATTTTTACCTCAAAAAGTCACGCTGTTACCTCATAAACTCATGCTTTTGACTCAAAATCCCACGTTTTTGCCTTAAAAGACCATGTTACTACGTCATGAAATCACATTGCACTCAAAAACCACATTTTTACCTCAAAACATCAAATTGTTACCTCACAAAACACGCATTATTGCCTAAAATTGCTCAATTTTACCTCATAAAACCACGTTGTTACGTCAAACAGCACGTCATTGCCTCGTGGAAACAAGCTTTTACCTCAAAATACCATGATTTCACCTCAAAATACCATGTTATTACCTCATGAAATCACATTTTTTTACTCAAACCCCACATTTTTATACCAAAACACCGTCATAAAATACACATTAACTAAAGTTGGTTTTAACCTCACAAAAAACATTGTTACATCAAAACATCACATTATTGCCTCATAAAAACGCATTTTTACCTCAAAAATACCTCGATTTTACCACAAATATCACGCATTTACCTCAAGTATTACGTTTTTACCTCAAAATATCATTTTTTTCCTCAAAATACCACGTTTTTACCTCAAATCTCGTCTTTTTACCTCAAAATACCACTTTTTTACCACAAAGTATCACGGTTTTACCTCAAAACTCGTCTTTTTACCTCAAAATACCACATTTTTACCTCAAACTTTGTCTTTTTACCTCAAAATACCTCAATTTTACGTCAAAATATCACGGTTTTACCTCAAATTTCGCCTTTTTACCTCAAAATACCTCGATTTTACGTCAAAATATCATGTTTTTACCTCAAATTTCGTCTTTTTACCTCAAAATACCTCGATTTTACCTCAAAGTATCACTTTTTACCTCAAAACATCTCGATTTTACCTCAAAATATGTCGATCTTACTTCAAAATATCACGGTTTTACCACAAATTTCACCTTTTTACCTCAAAATACCTCGATTTTACCTCAAAGTATCACGTTTTTACCTCAAAACATCTCGGTTTTACCTCAAAATATCACTTTTTACCTCAAATTTCGTCTTTTTACCTCAAAACATGTCGATTTTACCTCAAAACATCTCGATTTCACCTCAAATTTCATCTTTTTACCTCAAAATACGTCGATTTTACCTCAAAGTATCCCGATTTTACCTCAAAATATCACGTTTTTACCTCAAACTTCGTCTTTTTACCTCAAACTACCTCGATTTTACCTCCTAATTCCACCTTTTATACCTCAACCCCCTTGCTTCCCCCTCCCGGGGACCCCCCCTCCCCTTCGCTCGGGTCTCCGGTAACCGGGGCGTGCGTGGGGCCGTTACCGATGTAGGCGCGCTCCTGCTCGCGGGTGAGCCCCGGCGGGATCACGGTCGGCATGCCCGGGATCACGGTCTTCTGGTCCAGCGAGTCCTGGTTCCAGCGGCTCCGCTTCCGCTTCCGCGGGAAGTCTGCGGGAACGAAGAGGGGGGGTGGAAGGAAAAACCGCCCCGGGATGGGAACCGGCGGCGGAACCGGGACCCCCCCCCCCCCCCCCCGCGCTTCCATCCCCGGTCCGTACCTGACCTCCGGGCCACTTTGTGCGCGGCTCCCGCCCGCGCGGCGGCTTCGTTCTGCGGCCCCGCTCCCGCTCCCCCCCCGCCGGGCCCGCTCTCATCCGGGCGCTGTTGGAGCGGGGCCGCCGGCGGGGCCTGCGCAGGGCCCCCGGGCTGCGGTTGTTGCTGCGGAGGAGGGGCTGGGGGAGCGGCGGCCGGCGGGGCCGCTGCTGCCTGCGGAGCCTGTGGCGGGTCGTGGCCGGGCGGCGGCGAAGGGAAGCGGTACTGCCCGTAGGGAGCGGCGCCGGGGGCCGGCGGCGGCTGCTGCGGGGCGTTGGGGGCCGAGGCCGGCGGCTGCTGTTGCTGCTGCGGGGCGGAGGCCGCCTGCGGTTGTTGTTGCTGCTGCTGCTGCGGTTGCTGCTGCTGAGCCGACGGCGGCGGCGGCGGCGGAGGAGGGGGGGGCGGCGGCTGCTGCTGCGCCTGAGGCTGCGGCGGCGGCGGCGGTGGCGGCGGAGGAGGAGGCGGCGGAGGGAGCGCGGCGAACGGGTACGCGGCGGCCGCCATGGGGCCGAGCAGCGCGGCGGGGGCCGGGCCGGGACCGGGGCCGGAGCCGGGCAGGACGAGGCCGGGGGGCGGCGGCAGCGGGAAGCCGGGCTGCCCCGGCGGCGGCGGCGGCGGCGGGTGGAGCTTGCCCAGCGGCGTGGCGTTCGCCCCGGTCGCCATAGAGCCTCCCCTCGGCCGCCGGGCTTCGCGAACCTTCCACACCGCCCGCTAGGCGCGCGCGGCGCCTATTGGTTGGGACGGGTGTCAATCAGAGCTGTCTGGACCGCTGATTGGCTGAGGCTGGTGTCCGTCGGAGCGGGCGCGGCGCGGATAGGATGAAGGTGGAAGGACGCGGGGCGGGGATGGGTGTCCGGGAGGCGGCGAACGGGATTGGCGGAGGGAGACGTCGCTCAGCGGCCGTGCGATGCCATTGGCTGCGCTCCGCCCCACCCCGCGGCCCCGCGTGGGAGGGGTCGGGAGACCCCGTGCAGGGCGTGCCTGACGTCGGCGCCTGCCTCGCTCCTCATTGGGCTCAGGCTGCGAGCCGCGCGATTGGCCCGCGCTGCTGTCTCTCAGGGAAGGCGCCCGCTGATTGGCTGAGGAGGCGGGGAGGGGGCGAGACCAGAAACCTCGCGGGGAAGTATCGCGAGAGTTCAGCCGATTACTCCCCCCCCCCCCGACCCCCCCTTACTTTGACCCCCCCCCCAGCCCCCCCCATTTCCCCCCCTCCCCATTTTTGGGGGGCCCTGAGCTCATCCCCCCCATCCCCCCCCAGGTCCCCCCCATTCGTGGTCTCCGCTGTCCCCAATCTCGGACATTGGGGGGGAAACCCCCAAATCCTGTGCCCCCCCTCCCCAAATTCCCGACCCCCAACCCAGGCTCCGCCCCCCACCCCATACAAGGAGTGAGAGAGGCAAAAAGCTCACAGTTTATTGGCTGAGGGGGTGGGATAGGACACGCCCCCCACCCCCCATCCCCCATGGGGTCCTGGTGTCCTCATTGCACCCCAAATCCCTTGTGTGCCCCCCCCCCCCCCCAATCTCCATCCCCAGGCCACGGGGGGAGGGGGCAGCTTCACCCTAACTCCCCCCCCCCAAATCCCAACTCCCCCTTTGCACCCCCAGCCCATCCTAGAGCCCCTCCTGCACCCCACACCCCCCCCCACCCCAAACCCTTCACCTCCATCCCCCCCCCCGAGTCCCTATTTACCCCCCCCCGTACCCCAACTTCATTCGCATCCCACTTGGGGTGCATATGGAGGTGCACTGGGGTATATGGGGGGGTATATGTGGTGCATTGGGGTATATAGGAGTATATTGGGGTATATCGGGGTACACTGGGGTATATGGGGTGCACTGGGGTATAGGGTGGTATATTGGGGTGCACGGGGGTATACGATGGTATACTGGGGTATATGGGGTGCACTGGGGTATAGGGTGGTATATTGGGGTGCATGGGGGTATACGATGGTATACTGGGGTATATGGGGTGCATTGGGGTATAGGGTGGTATATTGGGGTGCACGGGGGTATATGATGGTATACTGGGGTATATGGGGTGCACGGGGGTATATGGTGGTATACTGGGGTATATGGGGTGCACGGGGGTATAAGGGGTGCATTGGGGTATAGGGTGGTATATTGGGGTGCACGGGGTACATTTTACCCCAAACCTCTCTCTACCCCTCCATAGGATCCCCATTCCCCCTTTCCCTCCCCATTTCCCCCCCTCCCCATCCCCATTTCCCCCCCATAACTCGGGGGGGACGGGGGGGACACGCGGCGGTCTCAGAGCCCCTTTCGGGGCCGCTTGAGGAAGGCCAAGGTGTAGTCACTGGGGGCCACTTTCTGCTTCTTGAGCTGGACCTGGGACTGCGCCGTGAGCTGCAGTTTGATGGCGCTGGAGTTGATCTTGGGGGCCCGCAGCAGATCCTTCATCCCGCGCATCTTCTGGCTCTGGAACAGCAGCACCGGCCCCGCCGGTTCCACCGGTCCCGGTCCCGGTGTACCGGAGCTGGAGGAAGCGGGACTCGAACCCGCGACGTTCGGACCCGCTGGGGTTGCGGCGGGGGGAGCGGTGGCGGCAGCGGGAACGGCGCTGGCGGGGTCCTCGCTGCGGGGTCCTAGCGCCCGCCGCCGCTCCGGGCCCTTCTTGGGCTGCGGCGGCTCCTCCGGTTTGGACTCGCGGCGCGGACCCCGCCGGCGGCTGTCGCGGGCCTCGTCCCCGCCAGGGTCCTCGTCCTCGGGGGGTTCCGCGTCCCGCGACACCAGCGTCACCCGCTGGCGGACCTGGGGGCAACGGAGGCTCGATGGGGGCAATAGGGACATTGGGGGGGGGCAATAGGGACATTGGGGGGGCACTAAGGACATTGGGGTGCAATAGGGACACTACAGGGGCAATAGGGATACAATGGGGGCAATGAGACATTGGGGGTGCAATAAGGACACTATGGGGGCAATAGGGACACTACAGGGGCAATAGGGACACTACGGGGGCAATAGGGACACTATGGGGGCAATAGGGACACTATGGGGGCAATAGGGACATTGGGGGGGCACTAAGGACATTGGGGTGCAATAGGGACACTACAGGGGCAATAGGGATACAATGGGGGCAATGGAGACATTGGGGGGGGCAATAGGAACACTATGGGGGCAATGGAGACATTGGGGGGGCAATAGGGACACTATGGGGGTGCAATAAGGAAACTACAGGGGCAATAGGTACGCTATGGGGGCAATAGGGACATTGTGTGGGCAATAAGGACACTATGGGGGCAATAGGGACATTGGGGGTGCAATAAGGACACTATGGGGGCAATAGGAACATTGGAGGTGCAATAAGGACACTATGGGGGCAATGGAAACATTGGGGATACAATAGGGACACTATGGGGGCAAAAGGGACATTGGGGTGCAATAAGGACACTATGGGGGCAAAAGGGACATGATGGGCGGCAATAGGGACACTATGGGGGCAATGGAGACATTGGGGGTGCAATAGGGACACTATGGGGGCAATAGGGACATTGGGGGGCAATAGGGACACTATGGGGGCAATGGAGACATTGGGGGTGCAATAAGGACACTATGGGGGCAATAGGGACATTGGGAGGCAATAGGGACATTGGGGGGCAATATGGACACTATGGGGGCAATGGAGACATTGGGGGTGCAATAAGGACACTATGGGGGCAATAGGGACACTGGGGGCAATAGGGACATTGGGGGGCAATATGGACACTATGGGGGCAATGGAGACATTGGGGGTGCAATAAGGACACTATGGGGGCAATAGGGACATTGGGAGGCAATAGGGACACTGGGGGCAATAGGGACATTGGGGGGCAATAGGGACACTATGGGGGCAATGGAGACATTGGGGGTGCAATAAGGACACTACAGGGGCAATAGGGACACTATGGGGGCAATGGAGACATTGGGGGGGCAATAAGGACACGATGGGGGCAATAGGGACATTGGGGTGCACTAAGGACATTGGGGGTGCAATAAGGACACTATGGGGACCATAGGGACATTGAGGTGCAATAAGGACACTATGGGGGCGATAGGGACACTACAGGGGCAATAGGGACACTATGGGGACAATGGAGACAATGGGGGTACAATAGGGACACTGGGGGCAAAAGGGACATTGGGGGTGCAATAAGGACACTATGGGGGCAAAAGGGACATGATGGGCGGCAATAGGGACACTATAGGGGCAATAAGGACACTGTGGGGGGCAACAGGGATATCGGGGGTCAATAGAAACACTATGGGGGCAATAGGGACACTGGGGGGGCAATAGGGACACTATGGGGGGGATTAAAGACACTGGGGGGCATTGGGGGACTCCGAGACCATCCCAGACCTCACCAGGGAGGGGGTGGACGCAGAGCTCTGGGGTCCCCAAGCCCCCTCCAGGACCCCCCCAAACCCCCCCCGTGCACCCCGTGTCCCCCCCCACACCTGCCCATGGAAGCAGCCAGCGCCCCAAACACCCCCCAGGGACCTCCAAACAGCACCAACCCCCCCCAAAACCCCTTCAGGACCCCCAAAACCCCCTTCAGGACCCCCAAAATCCCCTTTAGGACCCCAAAACCCCCCTCAGGACCCCCCCCAACCCCATTCCATGCTCCCCATCCTGTGCCCCCCCCCCCGTCGAAGCACCCCAGTGACTGCACAAGGCACGTGGCCCAGCCCATATGTGACAGCGCGGGGGGGTGCCCAGCGCCCCCAACACCCCCCAGGGACCCCCAAACCGCACCAACGCCCCCCAAAGACCCCTCCAAAAAGCCTTCAGGACCCCAAAACCTTCCTCAGCACCCCAACCCCCCCCTTAGGACCCCCCCCAACCCCATTCCATGCTCTCCATCCTGTGCTCCCCCCCCATCGAAGCACCCCCCTCAGGACACCCCCCCCTCCCCAGGACCCCCCTGCATGAGGCACGTGGTCCAGCCCATGTGTGACAGCACAGGGGGGGTGCCCAGCGCCCCCAACACCCCCCAGGGACCCCCAAACCGCACCAACCCCCCCCCCAAAAACCCTTCAGGACCCCCAAAACCCCACTCAGGACCCTAAAACCCCCCTCAGGACCCCAAAAATCCCCCCCAGGACCCCCCCAAACCCCTCCCGTGTCCCCCAGCCCCCCCCCCACCTGCCCGTCGAAGCGGCCCAGGGACTGCACGAGGAACCTGGTCCAGCCCATGTGTGACAGCGCGGGGGGGTGCCCAGCGCCCCCAACACCCACCAGGCACCCCCAAACCGCACCAACTCTCCCCAAAGACCCCCAAACCCCCCTTTAGGACCCCCAAAACCCCCTTTAGGACCCCCAAATCCCCCTCAGGACCCTAAACCCCCCCTAGGACCCCCCCCAACCCCATCCCATGCCCCCCCCCCCACCTGCCCGTCGAAGCGGCCCAGGGACCGCACGATGAACCTGGCCCAGCCCATGTGTGACAGCGCGGGGGGTGCCCAGCGCCCCCAATATCCCCCAGGGACCCCCAAACCGCACCACCCCCCCAAAAAAACCCTTCAGGACCCCAAAACCCCCCTCAGGACCCCAAAACCGCCCTCAGGACCCCAAAAATCCCCCCCAGGACCCCCCCAAACCCCTCTCGTGTCCCCCAGCCCCCCCCCACCTGCCCGTCGAAGCGGCCCAGGGACTGCACGAGGAACGTGGCCCAGCCCATG